CTGGGCATACTGGGGGGACTGGAGTCCCTGGAGTCTCTGGAACTGGTCATACTGGTGACGTTGGTGTCACTGGAACTGGAGGCACTGGTCATACTGGGGGGACTGGAGGCACCGGTGGTGATGGAGTCCTTGGTGGAAGCGGTCACACTGGGGACACTGGTCATACTGGGGACACTGGTCATACTGGTCATACTGGGGACACTGGTCACACTGGTCACACTGGTCACACTGGTCACACTGGGGACACTGGAGCTCCTGGCGTCACTGGAACTGGTCACGTTGGTGGCACTGGTGGCATTGCAGTCCTTAGTGGCACTGGTCATACTGGTGGCACTGGGATCTGTCATACTGGTGGCACTGGTGGCACTGGGGACACCTGAATCGGCAGAGACACCGGAATCACTGGGAGCACTGGGAGCACTGGGAGCACTGGTGTCCACCCCAGTGTCCTTACTGGTTTTACTGGTGTCCATACTGGTGTTACTGGCGTCCCCAGTGCCCATCCCAGTGCCCATACTGGTGTCCATCCCAGTGTCCTTACTGGTTTTACTGGTGCCCATCCCGGGCCAGGGCGTGGCCGTGACGTAATCGATGACGTAATCCATGGCGGGGGCGGTGACGTCATCGCCGCTGACGTCATCGACAGTGATGTAATCGATGGGAACCACGCCCCCTGCGCGGGAAAACCAGTAAGGGACCAGTAAGGGACCGGGAAATGGAACTGGGAGGGACTGGGAGGGACTGGTGACCTCCCAGTAAAACCAGTAAGGGACCGGTGACCTTCCAGTGCCTCCCAGTTTATTCCCAGTCCATCCCAGTCCCCTCCAGTCCATCCCAGTCCCCCCCAATCCCCTCCCAGTATATCCCAGTCCCCTCCCAGTTTGTTCCCAGTCCATCCCAGTCCCTCCCAGTCCATCCCAGTTTGTTCCCAGTATATCCCAGTCCATCCCAGTCCATCCCAGTCCATCCCAGTTTGTTCCCAGTCCATCCCAGTCCCCCCAGTCCCCCCAGTCTCACCGTCGGGGGGGTCCAGGCACAGCAGCACCTCCAGGCCCCGCCCCCCCGGCCCCGCCCGGGCGCGTTTCAGGTGGGGGAGGGGCGGGGGGAGGGGCCGGGCCACGCCCAATTCCCGCAGCAGCCGCGGGGTCTCCCGGGGCTCCAGCACAGGGGCCGCCCATCCCCCCAGCACCGGGAGCCCCGCCCCCTCCCAGAACGGCCCCTCCCCCCACCAGGGCAC